GGAGGAGACAGATGTGTTAAACTTGACTTTGACGTTACACCACGCAGACATGTATCAAAACATCTCATGGTACCCCATAAATGTGTACAATTTTTATGTCTTTTTATATGTTTTTAAAAAGAAGAAAAAAGCCAGGTGCAGTGGCACACGCCTATATTACCAGTGGCTTGGGAGGCTGAGGCAGGAGGATCACTAACTAGTTCAAAGCCAGCCTCAGCTTAGCAACTAAGGTTCCTGAGTTCAAACCCCAGTACCAAATTTAAAAAGGAAGGAAGAAATACAAAAAATGGAAAAAGCCTAAAAGCATTTGCAAGGGGCATCTCTGACGGCAGACTGGCCAAGTGCAAGCCTTAAGGGATGAGGTGTGGGTTAAGAAAGAAGCCCTTGCTGGGTGCAGTGGTGCATGCCTATAATCCCAGAGGCTTGGGAGGCTGAGGCAGGAGGATTGAGAGTTCAAAGGCTGCCTCAGAAACTTAGCAAGGCCCTAATAAACTCAGTAAGACCCTCTCTCTAAGTAAGAATATAAAAAAGGGTTGGGGATGTGGCTCAGTGGTTAAGTACCCCTGGGTTCAATCCCCAGTACCAAAGAAAGAAAGAAGTCCTTACTGGAAGACAGTGTGTCTGCAGCTATGCAGGTTCTGAGGCTGAGGCTAAAGGAGATGCAGAAAGACACAACACTGTAAAGTCAGGTTTGTTTGTTGTTGTTGTTGTTTCTTCCCACCATCTCCTCCTCACTAAGGACAAATGGTTCAATTTCAGGTTTGGAATAAGAGGCTGCTTAGTTTTCTTCTGGATGAGTGGGTGTTAACAATGAAGCAGACAAGGGCACCATGCACCCTCATACCCTTCTGGATCTGGGAGGAGTCGGGGTGGGGTGGGCCCCAGTCAGAGCTTTAAGGATGAGACCGGCTGCCTCTGGAGGTGAGGTTTCAGAGCACACGACTGGCAGAGAGGTGTTGAGGGAATGGTTGGAAATTCACCTGCTAAATGAATTCATAATATATGCCCATGAGCCAGTCATATCTCCCGGCCTTTGTATTTGAGATAGGATCATTGGATTAGCTCACTGCATAAGGCTCACCCAAGAAATGTCGATTCATTAGATTGGAGTCAGGCCCTGGCATGGATTTAAAAACAAACCCCCCAGTGGCTTTGATGCAAGGTCAGGTCTTTGAGCTGTGACATTAGAGTACAGGTCTTCCTTTACCCCATGTTGACTTTGCTCTTTCCTTACAGGGATGCCAGAACTCTGAGCAGAATAAACCCAAGGGTCATCTAACTTAGCACTCCTCAATTTTCTGCTCATATCTGATTCATCTTCCAGGGCCAGCTTACAGTCCCACCCTTCCTACTCCCCTTCCAGGCACTTTGCTGATCTATCTCTTCCCATTCTGGAAGCATCCAGGACACACGGCTTGTCTCATAGATGTAGAACAACATTATTCGATGTTATCAGCTACCCTGTTGTCTCTAGCCAGTCTTCCCAGAGAGAAGGGCATGAACCTCGTTGGGAGATCCTTGTCTCCCTCGGCCCCGACACCATGGTTACTGACTTCCCTTGGACTCCTCTCAGGCTGCGTCCTCCAGGTCAGCGAGACATCACGGTATGGTAATCACCACTTTACTGTCAGTTCAGCTAAGTTAGCATCCGCTCTCCGAACCTGGCCAATGGGGCAGGACATAGTTTATTCATCTCAGTCACCTTCCTGCAAATCTCTTGGGCATTTATTTCTTGTGATTTCATTAGCCTGAGGGTTAGAGTTAGATTCATTCCATGACACATTAGATTGCTCCGATTATGTGTTGTTAGAAACTTCCTCCACTGATTTGGAGGACGGTGTGATTTCCACCTTTCCGGTCAGAGTCATGCTTCCTTACCCACTGCTTATTATACTCTGTCATCCCAGGAAAAAAGATGAAAAAGAATTAACACTCTAAATTAGGAGCACACATATGGGAAAGGCGGAGACAGAGCTGGGAGCAACTCCACATGCCAGATGGAGAAGCTGCTTCCTACGTATCACGTTTCCTTGTTTTCCAGACTCCCAATCGCCCCCCTCTCCTGTGTCGGTGTTATACATGCCTTCAAAATAAATCCTAATAAAATCCGGTTACGATGTGGATGTGGTGGGGGCAGGAGAACGGCTGCACAAGAAGTTATGGAGAGAGAAGAGTGCTGTACCTCATCTTGCTTTCTCTGAATCTGGTGCCTAACCCTTGCTTTCCAGAAGAATTTTTCTGAACTTCCAAGTGATTCTAAGGATTGAGCGAGGTGCGTGGGTTGTGTGTTTCAGTGAGGGATCCTTGTTCTTTGGAGCCAGAAGGTGGATTCTGGGTATTTAGAGTGCTGACTTAGCGGTAATGAGGCTTGTTCTAATGACAGAGTGAGACTTGTCTGGATTGTGGGCAGGTCTGAAATGCACAAGTCTCTTCTGTACGCACAGACAACTCCATTCGTAGACCCTTGTCTCTTTTCTTCTCTCTCCTTCTTCCCTTGTCAATTCTTCACCACTCAGGAGCATAAGCCACGTGGCAGTTAGAGTCCTACTAAGAAGATTTACAAGGGGGATGTGGTCACTTTGTTAAATAGATCCTTCACACCTGAGCTGGGCTTTGTGGTGCTTCTCTTTCTTGTTCCATCCCTGTTTTTCAGGGGAATTGTCATCTGTTTGGTGCTTTAATCACACTGTCCCTAAGGATGCTTCAGTCCTTTTCCATTTCCAGGGATTTTAAACTTCTTCTCAGTGTAAGACACTCACCTGATTTCTCTCCAATCTCATAACTTTTCTTCCACCAACTCTCAATGCAGTGGTGATCAGCTTTCTGTCTCCTTTCTTCACAACAGTGGGAACTTTATGTAACTTCTTCCATAGGAGCAGCATGTATAACTGCTTTGAGCTAGAAGGGATTGCCAAGGGCAAGTCTGGTCAACACCATGAAAAGTAAACGTCAACTAAACGCAGTGTGGCATCCTGTATTGGATACCCTCTGCTCTCCTCTGTAACAAGGGACGTAGTGGAAAGTGAGTGAAATCTGAACAGAATTTGTGGTTAATATAATGTCATTAACCATGTTAAGGTAATGTCATTAACCATGTTAATTTCTTAGTTGTGACAAGTAGATCATGGTTATAAAAGATGTTAGTAGTAGGAAAAAGCCAAATGAAGCATGTAGAGGAACTGTGGGTACTGTCATTACAACTTTTGGGTTGAGGTTGTGCTAGGTCTATATCTCCCCTACCCAAAGAATGTGTTTATCTGTAATAGATCTTTGGAAAATAAAAGAAGTTTCTAAATGGCCATTGAAGACCACAGAAAAGTTTTCCTAGGTGATAAGCATACCTTCTGAACCAAAGACATTGATATTCTCCTATTTGAGTGAGGGAGAAATGTAGGGCACTTAATATGGAGGGCAGCTCAGGGAACACATATGTGCTGATTTTAATTGTTCACAAGGAGCTGATGCTCGTGACTTAGGTGGGAGCCTCAAAATGAAAAAGAAGGGAAAAAAGAAAACAGGGTGGGTTCTGAGAGTGGGCTGGGGAGGAGGAATGTGGCAGCAATGCAAGGCTGTTATTTTAGATGGTGACAAAAATTTCCAGCTCTGATTCTTCTGATGACCTTGAAAGGCACCAAATGATGGCTTTCTTGCTAATAGAATTCATAATATTTGTGGTGAAAGACATGCATTTGACTTTGAGGAAATCCTCTGCATTTGGGGGCTGGCTTGGTAGCATTGGTTGATAACGTGCTGGGTGAGATCTGACTACCAAGGTATCTGCGGCCTCTTATTGTAGAATTGGACTCTCCAACACAGTAGCCACGAAACCCATGAGGCTTTTTAATGTTAAAAATTATTTAAGATGGAACAAAACTAAAAAGTCGGCTCTTGCCACATGTTCGATGGCTGCCACATCGGACAGTGCAGATGGAGACCATTTCTATGACTACAGAAGGTTGGACAGTGCTGCTCCAGTCTGCACTCTTCCTATTGCACATCTGGGACGTTCTGCCAGAATCTTGCCTGACAGGACACAATAGAGCATGGATTCATCACCAGAACACCCTTTAAGACACCAGGAAATCCCTGACCTGGATACTCAGAAAGCTGAGGAAAATGGCAGATGGGGAACAAATTCTCAGGCAGAACAAACTTTTTAAGATGAACCTTAAAAAAATGAAATAAGAGGCAGGGAGAGAGTGTGAATCAGGAAAGACAGGAATATACCTTAAATTTTTATTAGGCAGAAATAGAAAGTTCTAGGTCATAGTAATTCAAGAAAATATGAATTTCATGATTTGGCCAAAGTCCCTTCAAAAAGAGTCTGGCCATGGTCCAGGCTCTGGGCACTCGCGGCACTCAGAAAATGAATTCACACATCTCACTTAGTTTGGTCTTTTTACAAATTCATCTTGAATTTGGAGAATTAGGATTCCGCTAGAGTCTGTGTCTTTCTCTTCTTTTCCTCTGTAACATGCCAAGAATGGAGGTGGGCCTTTTACTACTTGGCTCATTTCAGTGGGTGACAGGCCACAGGGCTAAGTGGACGGAAAAAGTTACCTTCTGTAACGAGCTTCAAATAGGCTGTCCATTTCATAACAGAAGCATCAAGTGGTGAAGCTGCTCAAAATTTGGCTGAATTTACATCCGTTCAGGGGGAGTGCAGAGGTTAGAGGGGCAGACTTCCAAGGGGTGGGAAAGTACCAGGTATGGCCTTGGAGCATGTGAGTTTACAGATGAGTGTCTCAGCAGGATGGAGAGCCTGTCTGGCCCACCCGACAGGATGAAGAGAATCATCCAGAGACCCTTGGGCTCTGCTTCTTAGCGCAGTGTGAGCAAGAGCAGACCCCAGAGCTGCCAGGGTAATGTGTATTTTCCTGGCTCCTCCCTTTAAATGAGGTAATAAATAGAAATGTAAAAGGCCTTCCAAATGAGCACTGTAGGAATGAGAGCTGTAAGAATTTACTACTTTTAATTTTACCTGTATCTCCCATAGCCCATGTGGAAATCTGCTCCCTCTGACTTAGACCACTGGTTTGAGCCTGCTTTTGTCCCACAAGGAAGATTCGCTGCACAAGTGGATGCCGTAAATATGAAGCTCTTCAAGTGTGCCCTTCTTTCCTCAGCCCACTGTGACATAGACTGATGGTTGTTGGCCTCAAGTTCTCGGTCTTCCCTTCCAGGTAAAACTCACTTGCTCCAAGCTCTCGGCTCTCTGTTTTGTGGTATCAACCACACTTCACAGACTGCTGTGCTAATGGATGCTGTATATCCTGGGCAATGGGTGTTTTGTAGGCTTTCTGGAAACACCACACCTGTCCACCCAGAACGTTAACAAGAGGAATGTTGGCTGCCCCATGCAGGGTGGAGGAAGGCTGGGGTTCATGCCAGCTTTCCAGTGCTCCCCACAAACAACATGAAACTTGGACTGGCTTTGAAAGCCACCTGGCTAGCCGTGCACCTGCATGCCTACTTCCCAGCTGAGCCGAGGGGTTGATGGTCCTGCTGGTCTCCAGGTGCCTGCTCTACTTCACCACCTCTGCATGCATAACAGGTGATATCTCTGCAGTGCTGCCCCCATCCTGAGTCCCCTGCTCTAAGTGCAACCCAGTGCCCAGCCTTGGGATCATGAGTTGTAGAAAACTGGAAAGTTGCTTGGGCAGCTCAACCTCGCCCTGTGGGTAGAGTTCATGACAAAACATGGTCATTGATGCCCAAGCTTTGCTTCCAGGTGGGGTAGGATGAACAGAGATGACAGCTAGTTCTGGTTTCCTTTTCATGTGTAGGAAAACAGGGACGAACATTCCTTTGGAACCATGTGTCATTTTGTAGCCTCCTTCTGTAGTTACAAGAAAGTTGTGTTTTTTGTATATGGCTTTGTTGTTGTAACTGGGATGGGGAGGGGTGACTTCCTTCCTCACTGATTCTCTGGGATGTGGGGAAGGATAGAAGAGAGACCCCCCTCAGAGGAAAGGGAAGAGAAATTAGAACAACACTCACAATACCACGTCCAGGTTCATAGAAGGGGATTAAAAATGTGAGTGATGCTCATGAGCTCACCTGTTGGAACAACCCAGCCTGTGTCTCCCTTTTCCTGAGTTTTGATTCCACATGAATACTTTTCAATTCTGCAACATGGTTTAAGCTAACAGCAAACAGACTGCCAATCCTATTCCTTGGCACTTTTGCCCTCAAATTGGATAGAATGGGCATGTGTGTCCTTCCAAGGACAACCCTCATTCCAAGGACAACATGCTAAAGAGAAGCAGTGCTTTGATAACAGGACAGAGCTAGAAGCAGGCTTTGGGCTCCGCGTCCTGACCCAGGCAGGGCAGGCCTGAGTGTTGTCACAGCCATCTGTTGCAGCCTGTAATGCATGAGCACATTAGCACATGGCCCGCCAGCAGCCTCAACATTGTTCTCCTGGCTCAGTTAGCACAGCCACTCAACAAAGGGACAGTTTTGCATTTGGGATAAATACAACCACTGAGGATTTTTTTTTTTTAGGATACTTTATGTTAAGGTTTATACTTGCTGTTTGAATTGAACATTTGTGGCCACCCTCCTACCTACTCCAATATTGTTCTTATTCTGTTTGTGACGTTGACATGGATGGTTTGTGGGAGCCACTAATTTGCCAAGAGACATCTTTCCTCTTTCAGATATGATCCTCATCAGAAGGATTTATCCAACTGAACATTTGTGTCTTCATTTTCTTAATCTCAATCCTTTTACTTCCCAAAGGACTAGAACAAATTGTCCAACTAGGAAGCCATGTCACCTTAAGGTCAGTGTCACATCCCAAGGTCTACATCCTTTCTGTGCCCAAAGCCTACCCAGCAGATGTGGGGAGGCACCAGCTTTTGTTCCCCAGGGAGAACATCATAATTTAAGCTTTAGTAAATTTGTTGATCCCTAACAGAATATTTCAGAAAATTCCTTCTTTGCTCCCAGGACCAATACAAGACCAGCCTCCAAGACTCAGGAGATTCAAAAAGCAGTCTTGGCAGGGAGAACATAGTTGGATGATGCACTTTTCATGGGATAAAATTTTTCCTGATTTCCTCATGTAGGAGTTCCAGTGAAGCTTTATGCGGTCTCTGTTCTTGCTTAGAAGCAAAAACCATCTGTATACACCCATTTATTTATTCAATTAATATTTATTGGGCACCAACTATGTACTTGGCTCTTCTATATCACTATTCAAGATGGGCAAAGATCTCTGCCTCATAGAGCTTAAGTTCTAGTGGAGAAGAGAGATAGTAATAGTAATAGGAGTAGTAGTAATAATAGTAATAACAATAACAATAATAATAATATGTCATGGAAACAGGAAAAGTAGAGCAGGTAGGGGAATGAAAAATCTCAGGCTAAGTTTGGAGTATTGAAAAGGAAGACATGGCCAGGCACACACTCCCAGCAGCTCTGGAGGCTGAGGCAGGAGAATTGCAAATTCAAAGCCAGCCTCAGCAACTAAGGCTCTAAGCAGCTCAGTGAGACCCTGTCTCTAAACATAATACAAAATATGGCTGGGGATGTGGCTCAGTGGTCGAGCGCCTCTGAGTTCAGTCTCCAGTACAAAAAAAAAACATGAAAAAGAAGAAGCAGCAGTTACGATCTCAATTGACTGAGCTTTGTATTCCAAGAAGAAATGTTATCCCTCAAGATAATGGGTGCCTTCCCTATGTTAAAGTTCCCTTCCCAAGTTCAATTTCAAGTGGAAAAGTTCACTTCACTGGCTCCTTTCAATCAGGTAACTCTGCTAAGAAAAAGCAAGTTTCTTAGGTGTGTTTCTTGTGCCCAAAGCTGAGCTCAGAATAAGCCTGCAGGTTTGCCATTAAGGAGTCTCCTGCCACCTCCTGACTATTAAGTGTGTATTGAATAAAATTCTAAGAAGATGAATTATAGAAATCAGGATATCTGCTTCTGCACCATTTACTGTCCCTCAGATTTATGTCAAGTCTTCATGATCAAGTTTAAATTTTAATGTCCACTTCTCAAAATGTGACTTGGGCTGAGGGTACGGGTCAGTAATAGAACACTTGCCTAGCATGTGCAAGGAAGGCCCTGTGTTTGGTCTCCAGTACTAAAAATAAAAATTAAAAAAAAAAATTGGTACTATTTATATTATGGTGAAGATTTGTACATGCTGCAAGTTAGTTGGCCATTTCATTTCCAAGTCATAATAGAATCTGGCTGAATAAGGAAATTAGCCATACAGAATCTACCTTCTTCAGTCAGGCTTCTCACTGAGATTCTGCCTAAGAGCCAAATGTATTTGTTAGGGTCACTGGGCAAGTCCCAGGGCAGGAGTTGTTGTGGGGTCCTCAACACAGGTTTCTGGATGGCATGGAGAACATTGGGGTTTTTTATATGAGCAAAGCTCAGGGATACTGCCATGTTGATTTGGGGGTCCCGAATCATGCAGAACCCTTGAGATGCTTCAAGGCAAGTCTTAGGGTAACAGAAACCCTAAATTCATAAGACCTCCCAGGTTTGATAAAATGACACCCCTGTAGCCAAGCACTCCTATTTCATTCAGTATGCTTGTGGGCCTGCCCACGACAGAGTTCTCTCTTTCAAACTTGATGCCTGTGAGAATGGTACTATCATCACCCCATTTTTCAGATGAGAAAACCAAGGCTCAGAAAGCCCATGTCCTTTTTCCCACCTAGGTCACACAGCTAGTGGGTCTGGGTAGAGACAGCATATCACCTCGTCTCTGGCTGCCCCCTCATAGTCTCCATGGTGATCACCTACTTCCATGACCTGTGTATTCCTGGCTGCTTGAGAGGAGGAGGCTCAGGTGAGAGTCTGGATTTAGGCATACCTATACCTGGGCAGGCCTTGCAGTTCAGAGCACCCACTCAGAGTTGAGACCAAGCACAAGGTGACTCCTGGGAGCTTTTCTTTAATCTTCACAGCCACACAACTGCCAGGCATTATTACTTATGATGCAAGGAGGTCTGGAAACCCAGCCCGCTGTAATGCAGGGCCCAAGTCCCAATCCAGCTGCCCTGGGTAGAAGCATGAATGCCCACCTGGCCCAAGGCGAGCATTCCCCATCAATGCAGAATTCATTCAAGGTCTTGTCACACTGGGCTTGCTCCTCACACTCTCCAAACCTCTTCTTCTTTGAGTCCTCCATTGACTCCCACTACACCATCAGTTCATTCATTTCCGGCCCTTGCATCTAGTAGGTATGATTTAGGTACAGAAGCATCCAAACCCGTTTCTACTACAGGAAAGTTTGAACCTAGGATAACTCCTTTCCAGAATTGTCTCTGTTCCTGCTTCAAAGAGGCTGGTGAACCCCATTAGCACACACAGGCACCAAGGATGGCTGGTTTCACTCATCACATCTTCCTGCCACCTGGGGGGCGGGGGTCCCAGGGCCTCTGTTCCAAGAGCCTGATTTGCTCATGGCACTTTGGAGATCACCCATTATGACTCCATTCTACAGTTGAGGAAACTGAGGCCCACAGCCAGCAATCATACAGCTTCTGAGGACAACCCCTGCTCTTGAGGACAAGCTTTTATTGCCACCAGCATTTGAGGATAAAAGGGGGTGGTGGTGCTTATGACCTATTTTCAACCTGTAGGAGAAAAGAGCTCCCTGAATCTGACTAATTTGGGAGGATTACGGAAGGGAAGGGCTGAAGGGCCAGGGGGCTAAAAGCTGGGGCAAGACGGGAGAAGACTGCAGATTCCCAAAGCTCGGTAGGGAGAAATCGGCATGCCCAGCTGCCCACAACTGAGGATTTCTGAATCATAACAGCTTCCAATGCTCACTAGGGACAGAAGTCTCCTGAGAGAGGGAGGCCTGCGGTGCAAGCGCTGGTGTGGGTGGAACTGTGAGAGCGAATTGGTGTGAGCGGTGTGCAGGAGCCTGTGCGGGTGCACACGTGTCCCGCAGTATTCGTGCGCCCGGTGCTCGGTGCTCTCGAGGGCAGCTGTTTGGTGTCCACAGGAATGTGGGTCCTTCTGGAAGACTCTGCAAGCCTCCCTCTCGTGGACCCCAATCCCTCCCTCAGCTAGTGGACTCAGAGGCCCTCTAGCCACTCCGATCTCACCAAAGGAGGGCCAGCGCAGTCGAAGCCGGCTGCTTTGTTTCTGCAATCTGGGCGGATGCGGGCCGCTCTCGGGCATCCAGCAAGTGCGCCGGGGTCTGCGGGACACAGGACGCCCCTCCATACCCCTCTCGGTTCAGCCTCCGCGAGATCCAGGAAGCAAGGGGCAGAGAGGACTTTTGCACACACTTCAGAGCGAGTTTTCCAAACAGTCTTCCCCGAGAGCTGCGACGTGAGACAAGAAGAACCCAAAGAAAGCCTGAGCCCGGAGGCCTGCCAGGTAGTCCTGGAGGACACCGCCGCTTTCGGGACTCGCAGACTGAAATCCCCCGGGCCATTCGGCCTCCTGGCGTGTCTGGGGGAGCCTTGGCGTGTGGTCAGATAGGGTCCGACGCCCCCGTGGAATGAGAGCGCACACTCCTAGCGGCCTCGGGTCCCACGGGTTCGGCGGGTTTGCTTTACAGAGACTGGCGCACGTATCCGCCAAGTCCCTGCAGGCTTTTCCGTTTGCGACCCCTTTCCGAGTTCCTCCTGAAGACTGCGATGCACAACCAGGGCGGAAATGCAGCTTAGGATCTGGCTGCGACCCCGGGCAGGCAGCTGGACTGGCGATAACGACAGGCCCTAATGAGCCACCGCCGAGGCTCACCTGCTCTGGCCCCTCCTGCGCCCGCGAGCGCGCCCACCCGAGCCACTAATTGCTAAAGCCTGTCCGCACCGCCTGCCACCCAGATGGGGGCGTCTAGGACAGATGGGGTCCAGGCACGGAAAGGGAGCATAGGAGCTTCCCTTGAGTGAGCTGGGACGTGGGGCACTGGTGGCAGCTAAGGCAGTCTGAAAAGGATGGGGTCCCAGAGGGGTCCTGGGTGTGTGGGCTGGGCGACCTACTGGGTGTGGACTGTGGAGCAGCACTCTTGGGTTACAACTGGGGGTGCCCCTGAGCAAGTCACTTATCCTCTCTGGGCTTATGTTTCCTCACCTGTAAAATGGGCCTCTAAG